TGGTGCTTTAAGCTTGTTTGGTTAACGTGAACTTCGTGTCAATTATGTCAGCCGTCTTTTGCCTACACTCGCCTAATCGTTTTTTTCTTCTTTGTTGGGTGAAATGTTCGTAAATGATAAATTTTAAATAAATAAAGATCATCATTAAAAGTTTAAATAGTGAATACCGTTTGAAAGAACTATGTATGGAACGAGATGTTTTAGTGTAACTATTAGTCAGTAGCAGAAATTTGTCCTATATAGTGGAGCATTTGAAGCAAAATTTGATTTGGTTTTTATATCCCGTTTTTTTTCTTTCATGTTGAGAAAGTCGTTCTCTGCAGATGCAGCAATGTCTGAATTTCCTATGGTTATGTTGATGGTGTAGTTGAATACAATCGTATGATATTGCACAATGTGATCTAGCACATGGAACATTATTGTAGTGTTGTTCATGAGAATTGTAAAATTTTGGATGAGACATACTATTAACCTTGTCATTGGAGTGTAATTGTGTTTGTAGGTGATAATGATGAAAACATCGATGCTTGCTTTCGGTAGAAACATTCAATACATGATTGATCAAGAGCAAATAACAGCAGATTAAGATTAATGCAAGTCTTATGATGAATAACATTTGGTTTTATTGATTGATGAAAATGGAGGGAAAAAGGTGTATTGTGATATGAAATGTTGAGAAATTAATAAAAATGAAGTCAATATCAAGAAATGTTTTTGTTTTTCATTAGACTTTTTTCTGTTAACTTGTTGATTTCGCTAAGTAATGCTGTAATTAAATTGTTATACCATTGTGATATTTTTCAACATGAATTTGAACTTTTTAATCGCACCTATTCAATCAAGAACTTTGTCTTTTGGACGTTGCATTGGTTCAAAACAATGAAGTTTAGAAGATGTGTAAAAAGAGCAGAAATTTTGTTTTTTAATGATTGAACACAACGAAAATTTTTCATGATTAGGGCCCATTATCTTATTTCTCACGAATCTTTTTGAATTAGTACTGATTATAAATAACTGCTGTCGAATCATCGTCATTTCTTTATTACATATAAATAATCTGGTTTAACATGCACAAGAAGATATAATAGAAACCAAAAAAGAAAATATATAAAATAAGTTTAAAAAACAAAACCCTAGGTATTTTTTTGATCGAAAAACAAGTCACAGATTAAGAATAAAAATCCATAGAAAAAACAACTCTTTCGTAACTGGATAAAATAGAAATTAGTTCACTCCATTTGTAGATCGCTATCATTGGCATTCAATGAATGTCGTGGCAAATTATCATCAGTATCCGTATTACTAGTATTATTGTTCGCCGCTTGTTTATATTTTGATTTTGTCTTATTTGACGATGAGTTTTTAACACCGTCTTGAGAAGATTGAACTCGAGAATTGCGACGACGTCGATTGGTATTGAGTAATATCTACAAAAAAAAAATTATCAACATTAAAATAAAAAGGAATAATTTAATAATAAAGTGACCTGATGAATAAATGGTTGACCACCACCTTCTGGAATGGTTACTGCAAAGCACAATGCAATCTTAACGATAAATTCAATGAAAATTCATAGGAAAATAAAAGTAAAACGTACAAGGTCATGATCATTCTTGATTGCTAAAGAAATATCTCGACGTGCAATACGTTTTCGATTGGATTTATGTGTCATATCACCGACTAATTCAATCGTTTCTACAACCTATAGAAAAAGTAAAATAAAAACTTTAAAATAATAAAAATTAATGATCTCACTAAGTATTCAAGTATACTTGCTAAATAAACAGATGCTATTGGTTTAATACGTTCTGCTTATCAACGTTGGTGTAAACGATTTTCCATATGATTGACAGAAAATACCAAATTCTATTAAAATATTTAATGTAATAGTTACTTTTAAAAATATAAAATTTAACTAACAGATTTTTTCGAACGATTTATGTTTTCCTTTTTTCTTTGATAGCTTATTTTATTAGTTGTAGTTTGATTGAATTGTTGTTGGTTATTAGTATCCATTTCTTGATTTGAATCTATCGATAAACGCAGTTTCTTTAATATTTGACGATGACTATGGAAAAGAATTTGTGTTGAGAGAATCCTTTGATACTATTGTTTTAATTAGATTATAGTCGAACACAATATGAGATAGTTATTGAGTATAAATAAGGCGAGTTTAGAGTATTCATACCAGGACGAATATTTGTTGTCTAACTGTTAAAATCTTCCTTTTTTTTCTTCTATATATCCACGCAGTCATAAAAGTAGAATTCAAGGCTGGTCAACAACAACATCGTCTATATGTAATAGAAAACTTTTAGAACGAAACTATTCGAAGTAACTCACGCGTTTATTATATATGATTATGAGGTGTTTCATAAGTTCTGAACCTCGACGAGCATTAACTTATATGTAGACAAGAAATAAGCTCTAAATGGATGTATCTATATTCGATTTGAGTATTTGTATCGACCAATAATATAGATAAAAGAATATAGTTTTCAATTTTTTCGATATCGATTAACGAGATTTTTTTTGTGAAATTTTTTTATTCAAAGTGATGAACATATTTGAAATAAAAAGTACGGTACGAACTAATGAGAAGTTCTTGGTATGAGCCACCGATCAGATGATCAATCAGAGTTTGTCATGAACAAGCAGTTCAAATTGAACTGAAGTGCATGATAGAGAATGTCACGGAATGGTTTTCTTTGTCTTGTCCTGCATTCTGCAGGACATTTTCATTCAGTCATTCTGTTTTTCAGGATGCACATCAGAGCATCAAAAAATTCGTTCTGGGAGGACGCATCCTGCAGGACAAAGGATCTTCCTGAGTCTGGCAGCCAGGACGATCTTTTTATCGCATTTTTGACAAGAATAAAAACTTGTCTGTATATGAGGTACGATATCAAATATTATAGACATACTATTTATACAAAAATCACTTACAATATAATCATGTTAGTAAACCTTATCACATATTTTCCAGCAGAAATGAAATGAACAATAAAGAAGAATACTTAACGTACATAGAGTGAACAAAACAATAGTAAAACAAACATAAAGAGACAGGATCAGAAGCCGAAACGAATAAGAAACTCTCGATTCAGTTTCTGTACAGGTTTCACAATGTAATTAATAGAAACGCATGGACAACAGGAAAGTATAAGTTTTCTTATACTTTGCTTTTTCTTGAGTTTCTCGTACGAACGAATAAATAATATGTTATCCATTTGACTTGATGATAGACATGTTCTTTCGTAAGTAAATGTCAATTCAGCTGAGCTAAATAACCTTCCCACTGAAGCATTAATCGATGGTATGGTATCCACTCTTCTAGCTGCTATTGATTATAATGAACCACGCGTCCTATGACATTCTCTAGTACATGAATACACTCTGTGTCCAATGAAAAATAAATCACTGTACAGAATGAAAAATTTTCATTTTGCAGCCAGTGTTCATATGTTTTCTTCACTTTTAACTGCTTAGTTTATATATAGTCTTACTGATCATTTAAACTGTGACTGATGAATAAACATCTATCGAAAATATGTATGAAATATTGAAGGAAAAAATATGACGAAAACAATTTTCATGTTTTATACAGTTACGTAGATTGAATACAGAATAGAGAACATATAGCCTTGTGATTATCGTGAAAGAATGATTGATAAAGTTTCTAAAAGACTTGGCGAGACAACAACATGTAGTAGAGAACAATATACATGATAGTTGATTAACATTTTTTTATGTAATTAACTTATTATTTGAATCAGTCAAATATCGTGTTTTTCTTTTTCTTAATTAAAAATCCTATTGATGGATTTAAAAAAATTGAATATTATATTCTTCTATTTATATTAAAATTCTTAGAAAACAAGTTATCATTCAATATTATGTTATTTGAAACGTCAATACGAGTATTCAAACTTCATAGAGATACATTCAGTTAGAGATCATTATCTGTCTGCATATACATTAATTTTTGCCGAGGTCTAGAACTTATGAAGTAATCTGTATGTGTTAGTTTTTTGACAACATACACTCACTACATTTTTCGATATATTCACTTGTGAAAGATGAATAGAGTTAGAATACCGTTTGTATTCTGAATATAGATTATGATATGATAAAAAGACATTTCAGCTTATTCATTTCCGAGTTATAAATCTATATATGATTATTAATATGCAGTGACAGTGTTTGATAAAAAAAAGAAAAGAACGATTTAAATTAAATCTTGTCGTTTATAAAAACTTAAACGTATTCCTAGTTTAAATGACTGTCAAATATTTCATCGAATGAGTGTTAATATTGTATTCATAGTGCTGTTTTGTTACATCAAAAAACTTTTTAAACATTAATGATACAGATTTACAAACTTTTTTTTCATTCTTACGAATATTCGGTTTGAATACTTAAACTTCGAAATTAATTTATAACAGATTTTATTTGATTAAGTAGGAGCAAATGAATTTTATTCGATTTTCTTTTTTTATCTTTATACACTCTAAAACAATCCGTATTATGGAAAGTCCAAAAAATAGAATTTCCACACATTTTTATTCTGGAAGGATTTCCAATCTTTGGAAACTCTTCAAAGTTTTTCGAAACTTCGGGAGCCTATTTTCAACTTAAAAAACTCTTGAAGAGTTTTCAAGATTGTATCAGAAGCCTCATATTTCAAGTTTCCCACAATGTTGATTTTTTAAGAGTGCAGTGAAACAATTGCACTACTATCTTAATACTTATTCATTTGTAAATTATATTGTTGAATGGTAAATTGTTCGATTCCTGTATGCAGATTGAGTTGGAACACGTATTAAATTTGAGATAATTTTACATCATTGTATACTGTAATCTACTCTGCCGGTTAGATCCATTGTAGAATTCTTTTGTTCAGCATACGAACGAGCACGTTTGATCTCGATCACAAAATTATTAAATACCTTTCAAAATACTTCTTCTGTTCATAAAATACACGATATTTTTTCTACATCATTGATATCTCCATACCATTTCACCAGAGATGATCTTTGCAAAAAAAATATTATTTAAAAAAAAAAGAACATCGTCACTATATATGCTAATACCAGATACAAAATCTTTTCTCAACATTTCAGAAATTAGATGAATCTTCTCATATTTTTATATAGATTTTTTACCATTGTTTAATAGATCTTGACAAGATCAATCGATTAGTATTTAATCCAGAGTGAGTCCATGTTTCAGTCAACAAAAACCTCTATACCATCATCAGAATAGTCCGTTAGATAATGTACTGCAAGGGATCCATATACATTATATAATAGTTATCGAGTGTTGATATGAAAGAAAGTTATAGACCAAACTTTTCGTACATGTTTATATGTCGTTCAATAGGAGAACAAATGAGATTCAATTTGACATATGAATCAACTAAACTCATGAAAGAATGTGTACAATTGTTCATCATGAAAAGATTCCATACTCTTATTCTTTTTTTGAAGTTATATAGTATGGACATAGTAGGCATGGTTAAATCGATCATGGTACAATCTAAAATAGATTAAATTGTGTAATTTTGATGGTAATCAACATCTGGTAGTTAATATGAGAAAAAGAGAAAGGCAAAATCGAGTTCCAACAGAAGGCTAATTTCGTTTTTTAACGTCCCCCTCCTTTCTGCATCTGTTCTATCTTCACAAAAAAACAACAATCTTATCATTGATTAAAAAAAAAAAAGAAAAATCTCAAATTTAATAATATCTCGTTTTTTTTCCTATAATACTAACAAATGAGGATGATGATGCTGATGATATCATCTTCATACATGTTCATATTGCTACTAACTTTAATTCAAATAAAACTAAACAAAGGATTGACTTGTGGTTGTCAAAAAAATCGATATATCGATTATAATCAAATGATAGAAACAACTTGTCTAATAGAAAATTGTATACTGTCATTAAATTGCACTGATTATACACCATGTAAATGTATACGTGATTTTGTTGTTCGATATAATGTCACTATTAAACATGAAGATGATGAAGATGATATCGTTCATATGAGTGTCATCACACAAAAACCAATTGATGATAATCAATCGATTATTGTAAGTTTAATAAATAATTATTAGAAAAGAAAATAATTTTCTTTTCTATAGATTGGAGAAATGTATCCATGTTTTTATGATCAACGTGATATAACAACTGTTTTTTGGATAAAACCTAATCGAAAAATATACTTTATTTTATTATCTTTAAGTCTTATATTAGTTTTTGTTCTTATTCTTGTTCCAATCATTTATCTTATTTTAATTATTGAATTTACACATCCAAATATAAAACAAAAATGAAAAATAAAATAAATATAAATTCTTTTTTTCTGTTATTATAATTTAATATCAAATTTTTTTTCCACATCCAATTTCATTTTTTCTGTTTTTGTATCAACAACAGATTTTATTTTTGATCCCATTTGCTTTAAAACACCTGAATCTTGTCGTTCTAAACGTATTTGAGTACGTATATCATTTAAAATTAAATCAGGACTACGTTCAACTATAAAACCACCCATAAAAAATTCATTTAATATATGATTAACTTTATCGGAATGAAATATTAAATCAAGTTCACATACATTTTCAAAATATTGATCTAAGCATTGTACAAATATATGAATTAATTCATAAATATCATATTCAGATTCACTTGAATCAATAACAAATACAAAATAGAGTGTTGCATACTGACGATATATTAATTTATTATCATTGTATTCAACAAAATTACATGCATTAATATCACGTTTTGATATTATTTGATAAGATTCACGAATTAATTTTTGTTGTAATTCAGTTGAACATGATTCAAAAAATCTTATGGCACGTGGTTGACCACGAGTATTAAATACAAGTATAGCTTTGATCATTATTTTAAAATAACTATTGTGTTGTTTTACTATTTACCTTGTTGTTTGTTACACATACAAGCAATAATATAAAAGAAAATAAATGTAAAAGATAAGCACGTGCAAATATACACGTTTAGTGACAACAGTAATATAGATGGGGATTTTGCGCGTAAAAAGAAAAATGTAAATGGTTTCTTATCTTTGAATTAATTAATATTTAAATATACTGTTTGAATATATTAGTCAAGAGTGGATAAAAAGTAATTATTGCTTTTAAGATATGTCATTCAAAAATTATATAACAAGGTTATTATCTTAACGAAAAAAAAAAAACTTTTTGGAGGTTAATTATCAATCGGTTAACATATTAGTATTGTTATTGTTCTAATCTATGTGTAAATAGTATTTGCACAACATGTTAGGTCTATTTTCGTCTACTTACAAGTCACCAGAGAAAATCAAAATTAATCATTTAGAATCAGAATGTGATGCTTTATTAAACGTTTTTTTTTTCTAGCTTTAAATTAATTTGTTGAATGCAAACCTTTGACCGAGGTCAAAAACGTTGTCTCTACAGAGATTTTTCATGCAGTTCACTTTTATATTTTGATCAAAACTATCTCAATTCAGGCTATAAATCTTTTTTTATTCCAATTTGTAGAGCAAGGCTTGCTGTACAATAAAACCGATTTATTTACTTCTCTTTTATGTTACATACAGTGGATATCAAAATTATCCAATCAGTAGATAATTTTATTTTGTTTTGCGCATATTTTAATAACTAGATGAATTAGAATAATCTAGTTTTTGCCAGATAATAGCTCGTAATCTCGTGTATTCTAGTAAAAAATTTAGATCAATCCATTGATCTACTTAATTTTTTTTGATTGACCATATACAATCACAGCATGCCATTTTTCATCCTTACAAAATTATCCAATCACTTATTTTTGCCAACTATTGCAAGCATGTTCTACATTTACTTTTTCTTTATGATTCATGGTTTAATAGAACAAATTTTGCTCTACATACGAAGTAGTTTGTATCGTAACTTTCCTTTGAGTAAGAATTCAAAAACAATATTTGTTTGATTCATACTGAACATAGTCAACAAAAAGGTGACATTAGATACTTCTTTTTTTTCATATGATATTTAGTCAACTTGATTGTTCAATATAGCACTCACTGTTGGCCACATTTTGGTAAAAAATGAGGTCTCTATCTACTAAGGAAGACAAGATATTGCAAAAACAAAAAGTAGGCTAAAATTATGTCGTACACTTTATATATATATATACACGAATCACAGATCGACTTTCTTGTATGGTCTCATTCATGCTTTGAAGAAGATATAAGCAAATTGTTTCAACACCGTGGATTTCTAGAAAATCTTTTCGCATGCAACACTCTTATATTTGAAATCAAAACTGATTATATCACTTAAATTATATAATTTTGTTACATTATGAATAGAAGGAGTAAATAGCTTACCGTAGTTCCAGTAACAGACTGAATATGTATCTCAACAAACAAAGATGTATCAAAATGAAACTTAACATAGCACATTATTCTGAATTTCATTCTCTAACTACATAAACATCACGCGCAAAAATTAGCTATGTATTTAATTAGATCTGCATTTATATTATTGCTGAAACTGCAGCAAGTTTTTTATTCTTCCTATTTATAATGAAACAAAATTATATAACTTAAATGATATAATCGGTTTTAATTTCAAATACAAGAGTTTTGCATGGAAAAAGAATCCCCACAAATTTACGCTGTTAAAACAACTTTTTATACCTCCTTCAATGTGTGAATGAGACTGTACAACATGAAATATCTATTCAAATAGAATAGTTCCTGCAATTTGTAGTGTTCTTACCAATGATACACTGAACAATCAAGTTGACTAAACATCACACAGCGATGTAACCAGAATTTTTAGGCCAATGAGCAAGCTTCTCTTGTGTCGAAAAAATCAATGGATCGAATGGGCAAGGTTTTTATTGATAGTTCAAAACTTTTTTGATCTAACGAAGTATTAATAACGTAAAAAAACACATACATAAGTTAGTGTTGAGGATTCTTCAAATATGTATCTATGCAGCACACATAGACATTTTTCTCTACGAACTATGTCATTTCATATCTTGGTTTTTTTCCTTTATGTTTCCATATATACGTAATTGGAATTTTTCTTTCTCTTCTATGCCTCACTCTATATGTATGTATATATCTACACATATATATATATTTGTGCGTGCTCTCTTAATCTATGCTCTTGTTTCCCTTCTCTTTGATCTATCCTTCTCTACCTTTACGTGATTAGTGTTTTCCCAATAAAACCGAACTCATGTTTATCCAAATTTACAGTTAAAATGAGGGTTGCCAGATCTTCTGAAAAGTCAGAAAAATTTCTGAAGTTTGAACATTTTCCGTTTTTTTTACTGATCTTCTGATTTGTTGCCAAATTCCAAACGTTTTTTGATGGTGGTTATACTAGCGAAATAGATTACAAGTATAATCTATTAATATTATAGATCCGTATTCCGCTACTTTCTTTCCTTTCTTAATCTTTTGTAGTTTCTGACTTCTGCAGCTACTGACGAATGCTTTAATATATCAGTAGATTTTTGCGTTGCTGAACTTAAGAATGAATGCTAATTATGTTCTTTTTTTGAACGATTTTATAAACATATTTTAGTTCAAAAATATTTATTGAAGAAAATTTGAACAACGAAAAACTTGAAAAATAATATCGAATTTATGTTCTATAACCTTTATTATTTTTCTTAAGATTTTTTGATCTGCATTGTTTATATATGTGATTTGTTTGCACATATTTTTCGTAAACAGAGTTTTGGGCTTCGTAAAAGCATCCAAAACTAGGTGTCTTTTGTTAGCTTTTTTTTGTATTAACTAACAATTGGAGACCATGCAACGACAAATTAAGGAGATTGCTCATAGTCGAATCAAATGGATGCTCTCACTCACAGACTAACTAGTTTAAAATATGAGCTACTAATAGCGTATACAGATCGAGATGTTTAAATTTTAAAATATTTACAGTTTGTCATGTGTCCACACTACGAAATTTTATCAATCTTTAGTTTTCGTTTTTCGTCATGGTTGGATGAAACACGGCAACTTACCTAAACAGAAGCAATATTACACACATTCACAAGCAATTTGACAACAATTAAAATTTTTTATTTGTTACTCTGATAATTAAAAAAAATGTTGTCTTAGACTTTGTATAATTTGCTTTTTAATATGCGTGATATTGTTTTTTCTTATGTAAATGGTCCTGTACCCATCCAACCATAACGAAAAAAGAAAACTAACTGTTGATGAAATTTCGTAGTGTGAGCACATAACAAACTGTAAACTTCTTGAAACTCGAATATCTTGGTGTGTGTATACTATTGGCGTCTCATATTTTTAATTCGTTGGTTTGACAGTGAAAACATTCATTTGATCCAAGTGTGATCAATCTCCTTAGCTTACAATATACGGTCTTTTACTCTAAACTATATAATTTTTGTGTTGTCTTTCCTTACTATGAAATACTTTTGGAAACAAAGTATGAGTCGATAAACAAAAAAAAGTGAAGGATTTTGTGCAAGTATGTCAACATGATAGTCCTTAGTTTGCAAAAAATTACTCTTTGTGATTAATGTCCGATTTCGGAAAAAAAAATTCTGATTTTTTTCTGATTTTTAAATTTTTCATCTAGCAACCCTGGTGAAAATACTAGAAGCGATTCTTTTCTTCATTCTTCACAGCAAGAACAAGCAAAAAGTATATGTGTGTGATTCAGACAGAAGAAAAAAATAGAGTTACTCTCTTGTTCAAAAATAAATAAACAATTTTGAAAAAGTAAAATTTCAATGGACAATTGTCCATTTGTCCCTTCCCTTGGCTATGCCGCTGACATCATATGAAAAAAAAGAAGTGTCTAATGTCACCTTTTTGTTGACTATGTTCAGTATGAATCAAACAAATATTGTTTTTGAATTCTTACTCAAAGGAAAGTTACGATACAAAATACTTCGTACGTAGAGCATAATTTGTTCTATTAAATCATAAATCATAGAGAAAAAGTTAACGTAGAACATGCTTGCAATAGTTGGTAAAAATAAGTGATTGAATAATTGTGTAAGGATGAAAAACAATATGCTGTAATTGTATCATTAATAAAAACCTAAACAGATCAATGGATTGACCTGAAATTTTTTACTTGAATACTAGAAACTACAGATTGTAATCTGACAAAAACTAGATTATTCTAATTCTTCATCTAACTTTTGAGGCATGCGCAAAACAAAATAAAATTATCTTAAAAAAAAATGATTTTTTCGGCATATGTCATCTGACGTAAAGCGTAAATATTCGAAAAGTCTTTATACTCCTCTGAATAATCTTGGTCTATTAATTGATACATCAGTAAACTTCAAAGAAAATTATCAATGTCAGTATTTAAATTGCTTATTTAGATAGTTCAGAATAATTAAATCGATAGATATTCATTTTTCTGTATTATCTCAGTTTATATACGAGTTTTCAAAGTCGAAATTTAATAAGTTAACCTTGATCGATAGACTTTTTTAAAATTTCTTCTCTCCTTTCTGTTAGTATTTAAAACAGAAACAGATAGGAAAAAAACAAAGAAAAAGAAAAAATGAACAACATCTCAACCATTCCACAATGTAAAAACAAAAAAAAATAGGAAGAACAGACGGAGGGCATTTATGCACAAACATATATTTATATATATATATATATAAAAGAAAAAAAATACTGCAAGAACAGAAGACTAGACGACTGTCGAATTTGTATATAATACTGTCGAATTGACCGATTGTTTATCTAAAACATTATCTCGACTCATATACAATTGTTCAAATCGTCTTAAAGCATGATCAGCTAATCGATCCGGTGAATTTGATGTTGGTAATGGCAAAATAGTCCTTTGTTGATGTTTTCCTTCAGGTTCAAGATTAAATCGAACACGT